TTATGGATATGGAGAAAAAAGGTCACATAAAGCCCGCTTGCCCAATGAAGCATGTTATTTGCTATGCATGTGGTATTACTGGCCACAAGAAGCGTTTTTTCCCTACTCTTACTAGCCAAGTGACGGGAAGTCAAGCTTCCGTTCAACAACCAAAGAATACTCCAACTAAAAAGGAGGAGGTGCCAAAAGCTAAGGGCCGTGCATTCTAAATTACCACGGAGGAGGCACGCGAGGACCCGAATGTTGTGACGGGTACATTTCTTGTCAACTCTAGACCTGCTCACATCTTATTTGATTCTGGTGCCTCAGATTCTTTTGTGTCTCATCAATTTGCGAATTCCTTTCAAATTGCTTTCTATACACTCGCGCAACCATTTCACGTAGATACTGCGGGAAGTATATCATTACTTGCTGATAAAATTTATAGGGATTGTGTCATAGAAATTGAAGGCTATAATTTTCTTGCTAATCTGATCCCTATCTCCTTGCCCAACTTTGATATTATTCTCGGCATGGATTGGTTGTCAAAGAACCATGCAGAACTCTTGTGTTACGAGAAGATGGTCCACATTCCTATTGAAGGGGCAGATCCTATTTATGTCTACAGTGAACAAAGAATCTTAAAAATAATCTCTTTTCTCAAAGCTCGTAAATTTATATCAAAAGGGTGCCCTATCTATCTGGCCTACACAGTTGATATCTCAAAAGAGGAGAAGAAAACTGTAAATGATGTTCCAGTTGTTAACGAGTATCCTGATGTTTTCAACTATGATTTGCCTGGACTTCCTCCCGACAGGCAAGTAGAATTCTGAATCGACCTTGTGCCTGGTGCTGCTCCGATTGCAAAGACTCCTTATCGTCTTGCGCCAGCTGAAATGAAGGAAATGATGATCCAACTACAGGAATTACTTGACAAAGGCTTTATTCGACCGAGTACCTCTCCTTGGGGTGCTCCAGTATTGTTTGTCAAGAAGAAGGACGGATCGATGCGAATGTGTATTGATTATCGTGAGCTGAATAAGGTGACTATCAAGAACAAATATCCACTACCTCGCACTGGCGACTTGTTTGATCAACTTCAGGGTGTTAGCTATTTCTCGAAGATTGATTTGAGATCTGGCTATCATCAGTTGAAAGTACAAGAGCAGGATGTACCGAAGACTGCTTTTCGTACTCGTTATGGGCATTATGAATTCCTTGTCATGCCGTTCGGTCTGACAAATGCTCCTGCTGTATTCATGGATATGATGAATCGCGTATGTCGCCCGATCCTCGATAAATCTGTCATTGTATTCATTGACGATATTCTAATTTATTCTAAGTCCGAATCTGATCATGCCGTTCATATTCGTGAAATATTAGAACTTCTTCGAAAGGAGAAACTATATGCTAAATTCTCGAAATGTGAATTTTGGCTTCGCCAAGTTCAATTTCTCGGTCATGTGATTTCTGGTGACGGTATATCCGTAGACCCTATCAAAATCGAAGCCATTCAGAATTGGGAAGCGCCTCGTAATGCTTCTGAAATTCGCAGTTTCTTAGGTCTCGCGGGATATTACCGGAGATTCATTAAGGATTTCTCACGTATAGATGTACCTCTCACAAGTCTTACACGAAAGGAAGCAAAGTTCGAATGGGGTGAAGCCTAAGAAAAAGCTTTCTCAAATTTAAAAGATCTCTTGACTCATGCTCCGATCTTATCACTTCCCGAAGGTGATAATGATTTCTCCGTATATAGCGATGCTTCTGGGTTGGGACTCGGTTGTGTGTTGATGCAACGTGGCAAAGTGATCTCCTATGCCTCAAGACAACTGAAAGATTATGAAAAGAATTATCCAACTCATGACCTCGAATTTGCTGCAGTAGTATTCGCCCTAAAACTTTGGAGACATTATCTTTTTGGTACAAAATGCCAATTGTGATATTTTTGAAATATGATATAATTTTGAAAGTTGAGTTCTAACAAGATAGTTTTTACTAGAATTGAAGTAAAACTATGTTTAGAATCACTCAGAAAATGTTGGAAGTCTTATGAGATTCCAGTCAAAAGTCAAATGTTAAAATTTAGCAAAAATATAAAATTTGAAATAAGTAAAATTTTATTATTGTAAGTTGTAGATAATTTCGTTAGAAACATTTAGGCGAAAACCTTATCGAAATCCGAGTTATAACGAAGAAGTTATGACCAATCGAAGATCCGCGACAAAACCGACAAACACTATTTAGCGTAAAAAGTGATTTTTCGATAAACTACTCTATAGCCTTAGTGATCTAAATGAAAGTTGTAGTACTCGTTAAACCGAGAATTTTCATAAAAAGAATGTCCAAATCTGACTTCGTATGAGGAAGTTATGATTTTTCTAAGTTTCAGAATAGCAGTAGACAGCTAAAAACTCAAAACAAAGATCGAGCGATATTTAGCCGAAACAACCTAAACGAGAATCGAATGTCTCGTCAATAGTAGTACAACGGTAAAAAGACAGACGAAAACGGATTTTGGATGAAGAAGTTATGAATTTTTAACGGACTTTTCCTGTCCCGGCCCGTTAAATATATAATAATAAAAATAAAGTCAAAATTAGCCGACGGAGTCTAAACGAAAGTTGTAGAGCATGGTCATACCTACACGTGGATATAAAGAACGTCAAAAAACGGAGCTCATATGGAAAAGATATGAATTTTTGAAGTTTTTAATATAAAATCTGATACTTATCCGAAGGGGGTACGCCTCGCGTACGAGAGTACGCTCAACATACTCGGACTTGGTCAGAAGCTGGCCACGTCGCCCTTTTCTTCGCACGAAGCATGCGTATCGGGTAAGACAGCCACGCCCGAGTCCGAGTTCCGATCAGATGACACCTCGCATGTACGCCCCACGTACAAAGGCTACACCCCGCGTAGATGGCCGCCTCGCGGTACGCCCAGCGTAGTCAGCAGCTTCAGATACTATAAATAGGATGCGAGGCCGCCCGAATTTGTTTAGAAAATTTAATACTCTTTCACACTTTTACACCTCCCACTCTCTCTAATTTTTACCCTAACATCCCCCGGAGTCCCAGTATCATCCCCGACACCCCAAGCAAGTCCTGACGCCCTGAAGTTCTCGCGAAAATCATATTTCCAGTCGAAACTCTACCCGGGTAAGGCCCGATTTTCAACTAAAATCCCCGGTTTCGTCAAAGAAAGTCATATTTAGTGTCGAAGTGCTGCCTAAATTAATTCACGGTGAGTTCAATATATATAAACAATTGTATGTTATGTGTTATATGTGCTATGTGCTTTTCCGTGTTATTTTCCCGTATTATTGTTTTTCCGCTATTTTGATAGCAAAGTTGTACCTTTGGCCATGTGATCAGTGAAAGGACTTTGATTCACAGTGGTATTGGTATGTAGCCTCTGGCCATGTAGAGCATGTCTCCGTAAGAGAATGACTTCTATTCTATGGCATTGGCAGAAGGTTAGACAGGGTTGAAAGCCTGCAATCTACCAAAATGTTTAAATCAGATATTTTATGTCTTTTGTGCCATTTTGGCCGAAGCATTATTGATGTACATCAAGTATTGAAATTGTTATGTCTCATTAATTGTATATCTTTGAATCAAGTCATTAATTGATATGGAAAGCTTGTCACATGATTTCACATATGTCTTTGTTGTTCCTTTTTGTTTCTGCCATATTGATGTATATATATGGCATAACGTTATATTGTATCTATTATTCAATTCACTAAGCGTCACCGCTTACCCCTCTCAATGTTTAACAATTGCAGGTGATAAATAACCAGTATAGTTATATACTGATAGAAGATTTTGAATAATTTGAAACTATTATATTTAGTACTCATGTATGTATAAAACTATAGTATCCTGGGTATTTATGTAATATATAACATTTTGTAATAGTCGGTTTGTATCCAGACGTTTGTAATCGCATTATCAATGTAAAATATTGTTTATAAGTATGCATGTAGCATGTTTTGGAGTAATAATGTGTAGTTTATGAAAGGGGTTCTTTCACCAAGCTTCATTTATGAGAGAAAACGCCTTGTAACTTTCTTGTAAAAAGTTGGCGCATCTTGGTTTTTCTCAACTTTTGGGTCTTCCAAAACGTTTATGCATGCATGAGCCAACATCTTTTCCTCATTCGGTATCTAACTGTTAGAAGGTGCCTTTCCTTTTTCTTGGGTTCAAGTTGAGGTTGAATCTCTTTAGGCTTAGAATCCGTTTCGGGTACGATTTCGGGTTGAGAGTGAGTTTGGAATTGGGTTTAGGGTTGGGGTTGGGATTGGAATTGAAATTGAGATTCATGAATGTTCTCAAATGGGGTTGAAGTCATATTCCGGTTGGCATTGCACTTAAGTTTGGAATTAGAATTGGGGTTGAGATTGAGATTGAAATCGAAAGTGGGCCGGGTATGAATAGGATATGGAGTGTACTATGCACCGAGATAAATCAGATAATGGTAACTAGGATGTGAATAAATATGACGATCAATTTGATTTTGGAAGAATGTAGGTGATGAATGGTTTGAATGAGTTGTGTTTTAGGTATTTTTCTTGTTTATTCTTGGAGTTTTGGGTTGGAAGAGGAATTGGAGGAAACTATTTTTCACAAAATAAGGTGAGTGTTACACCGAAAAATTGAAGGTTGTGTATTATAAAATTAGATAGTTGTTGGTATTTATAATGGTTAAAAGAGTATTAAAATTTTGATCTTTATTTAAAAAACGGGTATAATTTTGAAAAAAAACACAATTATAATTTTTGAATTTTGAGTTTTTGCTTTTCTCTCTCGTCAAAGCATGTTGCCGAGTCAAACTTCCGAACTTAAAATGCCGAGTTCATAACAACGTGTGCGCCGAGTACAAGCAGACGTTGTTGAGCTCATTCCGAGCCCACTCAATGGAGCTGTAGAGATGCTCTAATACTATAAAGATTATAATATAAATCGTATAATTAAAAAGATTATAATATAAATTGTATCAAATAAGGTTAGCGGAAAATGACATGGAAAAATAAGATAAGGTTTATACTTTATAGACATTTAAAAGCAATTTATATCTCAATAAATGTGTCATCATCAATCAATGGTACGAAAAACTTTGACCATGGAGGTAAGTCAAATCAAATCAATTCTCCACTTAAATATTCATAAACTACGAAACGTATCGATGCTTATTATAATACCATATTTATAATTTTCTCTCTTAGAAATTCTGCAAATAATTCGCTCAGATTCCATTGACAGATTGTGTATATTTAGGAAAGGAATCGAATACCAAGGAAGACGAAGAACAAGGAGTAGAAGCAGTAGCAGAAGCACAAACGTACGGTTTGGTTTATTCTTTCTCTTATCTTCATTGCACGTTTCCTTGTTTCTTTTCTGATTAAATTCCTTTTTCTCCATGATCAGTCAATCCCTCAAGTTTATTTGTCCGTTTTAGCTTAAGATCTTCCAAATTAAAGGTTTATTCTTCGTTTTTGTTTCTGTAACTTTGTTTATCGATTGTTTTACACCACAATCTCTTTTTGTTTTTGATGATTTAATCTGTAGAATCAAATGTCGTTTTGTTTCGAGTGTTATGTTTGCTTCGTAGTTGAGTTTTGATACGACAGTCTGGCAGAAAACTGAGTTTAAGAGTTCCAGATTTTTTGTCGTGTATCGGAAGGCTTTCTGTGTTGAAATTAGAAGATGAGGGTTTAAGAATATTATATTGATTCCAGTAGAGTTATGCGATTTTGTATCGATGAGAAGTACTCTTCTGTAACTACCTATGTCCTTTTTTGGTTAAAACCGTATTTGATTTTGAAGAGTTTTGTGATTTTGGACGAATGACTAGTATCATTCTGTATCTACTTTTATCAGTTTTCATTTAAAACAACAGGAAGATCTAGATGACTATAGAATGATGTTACTGTTTTCATTCTTTGATGGACTTAGATCCAACTTTCTCCCTCCTTCTCAAAAGAAGTCCATTTTCGATTCCTTAGATTCCAATATAGTGGTTCCAGAATTCAAACTCTGCTTAGATCTTTTTAATTTCTTCTATTTCCAATTTTATTTTCTGTTATGATAGTCTTTTATGTAGTACCATGTATTCATCAATTCTAATGTAAAGAAAATGAGCCTTTGTCACTTTCAAACTTCCATTCAAGTAACAAATATGGAAAAATTTATTATCATGATTTATAGTCATGATTGAAATGTAGTGCTGTCTTTATTGATACACCTGTAGGTTTTAATGACAAATGGTACTATTTTCATCACTTCAATTTTATTAGGCAGCTCAAAATCTACAATCACATACAGCTATTCCACATGGTTGTTAAAGTTGTTTGTGTTTTAATGGAAGAAATGTGCTCTTTGTTTTTCTCTGTTTACATATCATGATGATAACATGGAGTCTCTAATAATGGATATTCATTTATGCATTGCAGATTTGCAGGTAGTTTTTGAAGTTCTTTAAGATTTTGATGGAAGACAATCAATTAAACTTCAATCGACCAATTCTTTCTGTAAGACGTTTCTCATCAACAGTTTCTTCTCAAAAAGACTCCAAAAGGAAAAATGGAAATTCTCTCCCCACAATATCACCAAGCCCATCTTACAAATCAGGCCCATTAAGAAACCCTGGAACTGTCCCTTTTGTTTGGGAACACACTCCTGGAAAACCAAAAGATGAAACAAAAACACAAAAACATATTAAATATCTTGTCCCAAAGCCTCCACCAGGTCGAATTTCAAAGCCTAAAAAACAAGAATCTTTAGAAGTGAAGTTAACAGAATTTGAGAGCTTAAAAGAGATAAAGAAAGAGTCATCTGATTCAAGAGTGATTAATGAGAAGCCATTGGAGGTGAAGAAGGTGGTTAATAGGGCAAATGAGAAGCCACAGATTACATATGGCCCTAACTTTTTACAGTTTACTGGCGATGATAGTGAAGAAGATAGTGATTTTGATTATGATGAACATGAAAATACATCATATAAGGTTTGTGGATTGCTTCCACATTTTTGTTTAAAGGGTTCAATTGGTCTTTTGAATCCATTACCAGGATTAAGTATGAGAACCAGATTACCAATATCTTCTGCTAATAAAACTCCCTCTGAATCCTCATCAGCTAGCTCTCAGGTAATTATCTCCTAATAATTCTTTTCTAAATTAATATTACTATGATTAAGAATGTTGCATAAATTGGTTAAAAACTGAAACAATATTTCATAATCAAGCATTTATGGAATGAAACATGGTTTCATAATCAACCACTTTATTGCATTAATTTGTCAAAATATGAAACGTTGCTGCATAATTACGCATTTACCCTTGTCATTTTTTTTTTTTTGGATTTTATTAGCCTGCTAGAGTGGCTGTATATGAGCACAGATCATTAGCCAAGCAAGAAAAAGAGCAGACCATTATAAAAAACGAGCCCAAAGATGCTACCAATCAGAAAGAGCGATCAGAGCCGTTGGATCGTGTGATTTCAGATGATGATATCAATTCAAAAAATAAAGAAGTAAATTTACAAAAGAAAGGACTCATAAGCTTCAAGGAATTACTAGCTGTTGAAAATGAGAAAGAATCCAGCCCTCAAAATCATATGGTTGAAAAGACTCTTTATATTGATACCATACATAAGGTGGAAATGGAAACTGCCAAATCTGATGAGGGTATTTTCGGAATTTCCCATATTCCGAAACAGGATAAAGAAGCGGGATTTTGTGAAGACCCGAAAGTTGACCGAGATTTAAAGGTTTCCCGACAAAGTGAATTGGAGTTACCCGCTCCGCCACCATTACCGAAATCGCCCTCGGATTCTTGGTTGTGGCGGACATTGCCGTCTATGTCCTCAAAAAATAATCCTAAATATCCAAGGGCAAAACCGGAAATTTTTCAGTCACGAAATCCACAGGTAAATCGATTGATTAACCTCTCTAGTTAATTTATTTGGACGAGACAGAACTAGAAAAGACTGAAAAAAACTTTCTACAGTATTTTGTATGACGAGATGAGGAGAGAGGGTATTTACGTCTTTTTCATAGTTAAGAAATCGAAAATTTCACCTTTTTGGAAGCCACATAATTTTCAATTTTTGCATATATTTAAAAATTGCAAGTTTTGTCAGACCGACATAGGTCACAGTTCAGTATACGTCAAACACAATACAATCTCATGTCTAATGCACATATTTAAAAAAATATAATTTTTGTCTTATTCACATCAGTCTAATCCTGTGTATATTGTCAAGTCTTGTTATGTGTAATAAATAGGGGCCTAAATGCATATATTTTGTACTTTTTGTTAGGGACAATTACTTCCTATACCAGAAACTTAGCATTTTGAGTTAGTAGATTATAATATGAAGCAATGAAGAAGCATTGGTGCACAAGGTTTGCTATTGGTTTAGAGGTGGTATGAATGTAATGAATGAGTTGGTTGTGATTATTTTTGATGGGCGTATCATGTCATTATCATATTTTATATCATGTAATTAATAGTGAGGAATAAAGGAAAGTTGATTGGAGGTTTGTATATGGTAATATGAAGAGGGAAATGGTCTGTAAAGATGTTTTCATAATAAGAAAGGAGATGGGGTACCTTTCAGATAGAATGGGAAAAGGAGGACTTTATGCTTTTGTTTGCTTTCTTTCGTTTTAGTTGATGAAATTCATGTACAAAAAGGTCGTATTCAAGTAGGACAATGCCAACGCTAAAAGTAGAAGTGGGAAATGACACATATGGGACCATGTTGGGTTGGTGTTGGGGTTAAATGGGTAAAATTCACTAGAGAAAGGAACAAAAACTGAAATCCATCTTTTTTTTCTTCGGTTAAAATTATCCAAAATTTAGGAAAATTTGTCTGATAAATTAACTACTAATTTTGTAGTGGGAGTTGCGAAATAGGTTTCACACTGCTAAACCGGTTAAAAGTCATTTTGATTTTTGGGAAAAATAATTAAAAACAAATGTGCTGTAAAATCCACTCTTCACTGTGAAACCAAAACAAAATGTAATACTGTGAAATTCACTTTTTAAGTTTTTATATAGTAAAGTTGTTTTTGGTACTATTAAACTATTCATATTTTTATGAAATCATAAATTTTTAATTGAAAAAGCAATTATTTTAAATTTTTTGTGGCCAATTTATTCTTTACATTAAAATAGAGTTTTAACATTGTTAAAACGAAATCTTAGACCAAAAAAAAATAATAATAAAAAAAATAAAAGTAAATAAATGATGAGGAAAATTGAAAAAATAGCCTTATTTATGGAGGAACCACTCGTTGTGCTATAGTCTATTTGTCTATATGGTAGTGTCCACAGCGAAATTAATTATTATTGGAGGAATTTCTTAAATTTTATCTAATTTTTGTAAAAAAGAATTTCAAATATTTGCTAAGTTTGTTGACTTTTGGGTTAACCAATTATTATAGGTAATTTGTAAGTATTTGAATATACTTTCAGAGGTTTTAGCTATTTTTTTCTTTTATATTTAACGCGTCAACGATAATATATATAAATGTAATGAACTAGGACGTCAAATTGCCAACCAAATGGAATCCAACTGAATACAACATATTAAATTTGATGTTACCTAACCAAAAACTCAAACTTGGTTTTATATATAATGATAATTTTCAATGTAAAATTAAAAATTAATTTAAATAGAATCTAAATGTATAATGATGCTGCCGTTCCAAAAAAAGAATCTAAATGTATAAGCGAGTCTTAGAATGAGTTTAATAGTAAATATGGATTTTAAATTGTTTCCATAATAAATATCATAATGTTCCCTTATATTTTAGCAAGTTGTTTTAATAATTTTTTTTATTAGTAGTTAAGTAATAGCAAATTATACATTATAACCATTAACATGCTAATAAAATAACATAAAACATGTTCTTTCATTCCTTATAGCATGACTTTAGTGTTAGACTAAAATATAAAAATGATGCAAATTCTTTGTCATTTTATATATATTTTTTGTTATAAAGATTGGAGATAACCTTTTATGTCTCGTAGCCTTTACACACCATACAGTTACAACAGTTCAATCCACTTAAGATTTATTTTATTTTATTTTCATGGCTTATTCAAACTCCGACTTTACATAATTACATAAAAACAAAGCATAATAATGTCCTCCAGATTCTTCTTGTCCTTCTGAATTTCAATATGATACACGTCATCTACAAACACACATACACAAACACACAAATGACGTTTTTTCTTTTTTTACCAAATTGTAGGTTTTTGAAACATGTAATCAATCCTTTATAAAATAACGCTTATTGCAAGTTAAAAAAAGTCACATCGACTTACAAACATATCGATTGATTTGCTTTTTGGCACATTCTGTTCGTTTGTAGCTTGTGGTCTCTTTCTATGCGAAGTGGTCCGTTACCTGTCCACACCCAATCAAGAAATGGCTCACATTCTGTCCATTTTGTGTCGTGAGACCCGTTAAATCAATACACATTCTGCCCATCACAAGCGGTATTCATATTTACAAGTTTTCATATTTAAAGAGTGTTCATACATTCTATGATAATCTTGCACAGAGACAGATAATTTGTTCATGAACTAACCATGTGTGACACAAATAATAATGACATTAGAGGAACACATAAGGAAAACCTTTTACGGCTAGGAAGAACCATTGCAAGAATTCCACAAGTTCTACATTAATTATTCCTTGAATGCAGTTTCTTCTTCTTCTTCTTCAGATATCCCTATGTCCAAAATTCGAAGGTTTGTATATGCATGCTCTAAAATCTGATTTTCCCATAAAACTTTCCTTCGCATTATCGAAATATATGAATACAGTGGGTCTGGCCCAGTACAAACATACATATACATTAACACCCCATACAATCAAAACATGAGGGTTTGGGTGAACGTTAAGACTGGATCTAAAGTCGAGAAACAAGGAGGATGAAACCCCCTTCATGAAAATGTATACGTACCGGGATGAAAAGGGAACATGCACAACTTGGATGTGGCTCGTGGCGACTTTGTCCCAAACAAAATATATGTTAATTTCGATGTGTGTTGGTGTGCCGATGTTGAACCGCGTTTGTGGAGATATAAATTGTGTTGGCATTGTTACAGTACACAATGTTGGGTTTAATGAGAAGGAAGTGATATCACAAAGCCAAACTGTTTCAGTGACTACGTCGTCCACTCCTTAGTATTCTGCTTTAGCGTTGATCTGAAGATGATAGTCTGATGTTTGGAGGACCAAGACAAAAGTTTATCACTAGATATTATTCAATAACCAGAAGTATGTCTCCACATATTAGAGCATCCCCTCGGTCTGCACCTAAGTATACAGTGAGACCTTGTAAGGGAGAGACATGTAGTTGAAGGTCGAGGTAAATGGTGTCCCATATATATCGTAATATTTTGATACTCATTTGGACTAATGATTGTGCCTTACGTAAAAAAAACATCGACTTTAGGATGCGTCCTTGTTGATTCGACATTGCTTACTCTGCACTACCCTTTAATGCCAACAAATAGTGATTTTTATTTACATTTTTTTGTTTGTTAGGTTTGACACGCCTGACATTTACACATAGATGATTCTTAGAATTTTGATAAAATTAGTTATAGGACTTTGATTCTAGCTAAATTGGACATCCCTCACAAAATAATAAACATTAATGCATTTTTTTTCAAATGTTTAAAATTTAATTATAGTATCCGTTATTGTTTTATGATTCTAAAAGTGTTACTTTCAAACCATACCAAAATAAGTAATATAACATAAGTTCCATACAAAGTTTCTACAAATGAACTTACATTCTATAAGGTTATCATTGGCCAATGTTAAGGAATTATTGGCTCAATTTACATCCCTAACTTTATATAGTTATAGTCTTATTGTTATACAAATTCATGAGTTCTACTTGAATAAAACACGAAGGATTTTTGGACACATAACTCATTATTATCACTATTTAAATTTTGAGCAACACGTAGGAAAATACAACTATTTATCTACTAATATTAAAAAAAAAACTTAAATTTTATTTATATACATAAAAACATTTATATTTTCAATTACCTTTCAGATTTACCCAAATATCCATTTTTTAAAGAAGTTATCGGTTGTTATATGAAATAACATTTATCTTGTTCGTTATAGGTTGACATGGAAAAAAAATAAATTATGTTACTTATATTTTCTTGAGTAAATGATCTATTTCTCACATTTTACCTTAGACAATATTTTTATTTCCATGTTAACCTAAAATGAAAAGATAAATGTCATGTCACAGAACAACCGACAATTTCTGTAAAAAAAAAACCCTCGGATATTTGTGTTAATATGAAAGGTAGCCAAAAATGTTAGGGTTTTTCTATATATAAATAAAATGTAAGGGTTTTTCTGAAACTTGATAGATAAATGGTTGTGTTTTTCTGTATTTTACTCTTAAATTTTTTGAGTTTTTGTGAAAGCATTCTTCGAAAAGTAGGATTAACTATGCCCTAGTCAAATCTTGTTCTTGCACCTCATTCTATATAGTTTGACTCGAGATTTATAGACCATATCAAGAATCTATACAAAAATAATAACAATAATAATAATAATAATAATAACAAGAAAAAGATCTCGGACTTCGTCTCAGGTTAAATAATTTTTTTTTATATTTTTTTCAGTTTAATGTAATGGTTGGGATAGTACTTTTTTTTAGTTGAGGCAATGTATTCTAAAAACGTTAAACATTGATATTTTTCGATTATCAGAAGCAATGTTTCTACTTGTAAGTGTTCATTTGTGTGTATATGTTTTCATTTGTTTTTTTTTCTTTTGTAAGTATTTGCATGTGATGATAAGTTCAAACGACTGAGTAGAAGTTAAAGTGCTGTCAACCTCTTATTTTAGAACATGGAGTTCATATTATTTAAAAATAGTCAAACAATCTACTTAAAGTTTTATTTAATAATATGGTAAAAAATCCAAAAAAGTTTTTATATTTTCTCCTGACTTTAAATAGCTTTTTGACGGATCGTACCATGCTCATTGTAACATCCCCGTCTGACACGTATAACAATATTGTCCGCTTTGGTCTCCCGACACGAAACATCTCAGGGGGTCACCCATCCCTAAATTGCTCTAGCTCGGGCATGCTTAACTGCAGAATTCTTATGGGATCTGATGTCCTCACGTCTTTAAAACACGTTGTAACTAGGAAGGTATCCACATCCCTTTTAACTTCCTAGCCAACGGGGGATCAGGTGCAGGTAACCACCCACCTTCTCTCTCTCTCTCTCTCTCTCTCTCTCTCTCTCTCTCTCTCCCCCCCCCCCTTATAGGGTTCGATGTCCATATCAAACACATCGACCCATGTCCTAGCTCGGATACCATTTTGTAATATCCTCTCTGGCACGTATCACAATATTATGTGGGATCAGGTGCAGGTAACCACCCACATTCACTCTCCCCCATTATAGGGTTCGACGTCCCTATCGAACACATCTATCCGTGCCCTAGCTCTTATACCATTTGTAACACCCCCCTCTGGTATGCATCATAATATTATGCGGGATCAGGTGCAAGTAACCACCCAACTTCACCCCATATTATGGAGTTTGACGTCCCTATCGAACACATTGACTCGTGTCCTAGCTCTGATACCATTTGTAACATCCCTCTCTCAAACGTTGATTCATAATATTGTCAGCTTTGGGATCCCAACACGAAAACTTCCCAAAGGGTCACCCATCCCTGAATTGCTCTTGCTCGGGCACGCTTAACTACATAGTTCTTATGGGATCTGCTACCCCT